ACCTTCAGGAATAACAATGATCAAAGTACTTGAAATTTACCTAGGAATAGAGACGCCAAGCATGAATTCTTGGCAAGCCTGCCACAGGTCATTCGCAACAAGTCCCCAACAACTTTTGTAAAAGGTTCCCCCAAAGCCATCCATACCCGGAGCGATATCTTCCCTAAGATTGAAAACAGCCTCCTTGACTTCCTCAAGCAATATAGGCCTCAATAAACCGCGCTCATCATCATTATCAAGTAGACGCGGAATATGGGCAATAAACAGCTCTTGCTTTTCATTACAAAACGGATCAATATCGTTTTCATTCAACAAGGCCGAGAAGAAGGTAATCGCCTCTTGTTCAATATCCAGCGGACTTGTCAACATTTCCCCATTCTCAGACTGAATTTCGAAGATCCCTTGCAGCCCTCTCCTTTTCTTTTAAAGATGCATGAAAGAAAGAGGTGTTAGAGTCCCCTTCCTTCATCCATTTTACTTTCATTTTTTAAGTCCGAAAGTCATTATGTTCCTTGATCCTCATGAGAAAATAAGCCTTGGCAGCATGCAACCGCACCCTATCATGAATTTCACCCGTTGTATCATATACTCCTTCAAGATCATGGACTTTCTTCTCAGCCGCCTTTAAGTTAGCAAAAACATCGCCAAAGATTTCTTTATTCCACTCTTTTAGTTTAGCTTTCAACTGACACAGCTTGAGTGAGAACCTCAACATACCAAAAGCATCCAATGGCAAGTCCCAATTCTATTTAAAGATGGCAAGGAAATCCAGCCTCCTCAACCACATTTTTTGAAACCAAAAAACCCTCGGTTTACTAACCAATTGGACATCAAACAAATGGAGCATTGGGCAGTGATCAGAGGTGGTGCGATTCAGATTCTCAAGTTAAGAAACCGGGAACAAATCATGCCACTCCGAAGTTATGAAGACTCTGTCAAGTTTCTTGCTTACCCATCCCGTTTGGTGAGTACCCCCCCCCCCAATGTAAACTCTTCACCAATCGCTTGAATATCATCAAGATCGCATTCATGAATGCATTCATTAAATTCCGAGATGGCTGCCAAGTCTTGTACCGAAGATTCTGAATATTCATCCAAGGTGCGAATGACATTAAAGTCGCCTCCAATCATCCAAGGGGCCAAAGAGTGGAGCTTTTTAATGTGATCATGTGCTGCCATAACAAACGCCGCTCCACCTTAGTTGATTTAGCATATAAAGCTAAAAGATAAAAAGTACCATTCACCAAAGCATTAGTAACTTCAAAATGGAGAATTTGATCCAAATCCTCCAACAACATGAGCATAAAGCCATGCCTACTAAATACCCAAATCTTGCTATTTCTCGAAGAAAAAGCAAAATCAAAGCCAAGCTCTCTTCTAACAACATCAATATGGCTAATAGAAACAATAGGTTCCATGATAAACAAAACCAAAACCTTACACATATTTATCAAGATTTTCAAACGCTGTTGGGACGCTTGATTTTTTATTCCTTTAATATTCCAAATAAGTTGACTTAACATGAAAAAATTAAGGGGAAAGGAACACATTACTGTAACCTAGGTGATCGTCTAGGAATCACCCCTTTGAGCTGCTCCGCTTTTCGGCTTTTGATTTCGGGCCTCTTTTGCGCGACACCTTGACATCTTTATGAAATACACCATTGTCTGTATCATTAACCAGCACATTCTCCATATCCCCCTCCAACCAGCATGCATGATTTCCAATATCAGACTCCAAAAAATCTGAGTTAACACCAACGGTTCCATCATCCGAAGAGTGTCCAATACACAAAGGATCTTCACTAGCCAACCGTAGCAAAGCACTCTCCACTTCAGCAGAGGTTGTGTTTTCAAGGTTTTCAACATATACATCTTCAATTTGAGCCTCTTCTTCCTCTTCTTGATCCTCACATTCGGCCTCATCAATCGTACACAACAAAGCAAAGCGGTTATCATCCCGCACATCAAGGGTTTTTTGAACTAAGTGACTAGTTCAAACTTTAGTATTCGAAACACAAAATCATCCAAGTACTAATTCATAAACAAAACTACATATGTTCAAGAGATTAGACCGTTTATAAGAGTTTAGCTACACACAAACACAAGAGGATGAATAACAAGCATTCAACATCAATAACAAGCATTCAACTCAGAGTGTTCTTGTCTACTCAGGCGATTGATTTTCCTAAGCGCGCAAAGCTGGATTACTCTTTGTGTTGTGCATATTCTACTCTCTCCCCTCACACATAGAGCTTGATTCTGAGCTTTAGTGGTTCCTTTTATAGAGTTGCATCCTCCTCCTTTTGCATTATTGATTCCCTACTTCTATGAGTTAGGACCACTCAGTCTGGAACCAGTTAAGTGCCCCACAGCCGCCGACAAGATCCATAGGAGCTCTTGTAGCCGTAGTTTTTTTCAGGCTCCGTCACTTTTTTTCAGCCCCCAATTTATGAAAGAAAAAATATCTCTTAAGGGGTTTTGAAGATTTGTAATTGAAGAAGGGGTTCTGCAGATTTGTAATTGAGGGATGCTCGAAGGGTGGCTACCGAATTTTTCCGACGACTAAATTGCAGCGGGGATCTGATGAGGAAGAAGATAACTTGGAGAGCATAAAGTTATAACATATTACAAATTATTACATCTACTTTCTTATTTTTTCAAAGAGACCCCTCTTTTTAATTAAATCCCCATCATAAGATTAGTTAATCACCCCTGAAACCTTATATACAATATATTTCGATCCCTAAATAAAATAAAATCCAGCCCCCCCAAAGCCGCAAGTCTAGTTCTGCCACTGGAACCACTTTAGCCTTAATTGTTTGGTTGCTTTTTTTAGCTTTGCTCTTGTCTTCTTGCTTAATTTTCGGACCACCTTTAAAGCATCCTAAGCTGTTCCTTAGCCCCAAAGTGCCTCTTTCTTTGAAATTTCCAGCCATCTTTGTGGTTCTATGTTTGTCTTGTCAAAACCATCCAGGCTCTAGCTTTTGTGGTTCTTCATTCTGCCAAGTTTTCATTTTGGTCGATTTCCCCCACTTGTTGTGCCATTTTGCCGTTAAGTTCCTGATCACACAAAAATATTGACCTACTTAGAAGTATAACCATTCTTAATTTAAAACTTATAATTTATACCTAAAAAGAGATAATAAAACTTTGCTTTTATCATGTATAATTGACACTCATCAAAAGTATGGGCATAATACTAGTTGTCGTGATTATTATGTTTAGGACTATAAATTAGGCCACACCACCAATTAAGAATAAAACAAACAAAGAAAAACAAGTGCATACTAAAATTATTGTTATTTTTGTTAAGCTGTATTATCTGTTCGACATTGCCATCATGAAAAGAAGTGACTCAGTATATAAGTTTTATAGGTCACTGTCGAGGGTAAATCCTGGGAGCGGAGAGTCAACGGTCCGACCTGGACAGGAACCTGCAAGACGGAGGTTAGTACTCCGAAGATTAAGTCAGTTCTAGGGAGAGAAACAGGTAATTAACACACTTAGAGAGAGAAACGATAGTGTGGAATTGAATTCGCAATAAATGAGCAAGGAGTATTTATAGGTCCCAATGGGACAATACCTGTGGGCCCCCGTATCAGGATGGGCAAAAGCGTAAATAGACAAGGGTAGATTCCTTGTAACCCACATGGGCCTTTAGAAAGGAATTAAACGGGCTACTTGGGCTTACAAGATAGGCCCAAGTAGGGTGAACAGTTGGGCCGGTCAAAGTGGGTCAAAGTTGACCCCCAACAAGTGCCCTTGTCAAGCCTAGTGCAGCAAAGCCGGATTGGGCTTGACACAAAGGAATTGCAGGCCCAATAGATCAGCCCTGCTTCCGGAATCTTCCCTCTTCTGATCGCCCTAGATCCAACGGCCCTGGGTTTTTTCCGCCTAAATGTGATGGACGCGTAGGATTTCATGGGAGGCCGCGCCGCAATGATGGCGCCTGATGGGAAATCGAGGGAACTGTTCAGTTCCTCTGGAGTATATAACTCCCCCACAGGACGCCGAAAATCATTTTTCTCCCTTTTGCATTCAAATTTCAAACAGACGGAGCTCCGTTTTCTTCTCTCTTTTTACAAATCAGAGCAACATTACCGTTCCGGCATCGGAATCACGGTCGGCGACTATCCACTGCAAGCTCGAATAAGTCTTAACCTTCTTTTGCAAGCTCGAATTACAGTATGGCTAAAGAAGTAGTTAGGGTAGAGGACGTTCAGTGTTCACTAAACTAAGATAGGTTAAGCGATTTAGAAAAACACTATAGCCTTACGGCTATCAACCCCACCTTACCAGAAAGCAATGAGAGAGCCAGTACTCCCCCTCCGGGGAAAATTACAATTTATGAGAAGTTTTTGGAGTACGGGCTACACTTTCCTCTTATGCCTATGTTCAGAATGATAGTGGAAGCCTACGGCCGACCTCTAGCCCAATACACCCCGAACCTCATAACCATTGTGTTAGCCTTCGTACATGTATGCAACAAGACGGGGGTAGAGCCAGATAACTTCCTGTTTAGATGTTTTTACAAGCTCGTCCGATGCGGGAAGAGTTTTCCCAGGTGGTTCAGCTTTACCAAAAACCACACGGCCCTTCCAAAGAATTAGTAGCCAAGAACGAGAGTTCTAAGCATTGGAGGTCGGCCTTCTTTTATGTGGACGCGAACTTTGTTGCCCTTTTTCCGTGGACGCCGGATGAGGGAGGAACAACCAGTTTAGATCCGTGGACCAAGAAGGATAAGAAGGATATGGAGGCCCGAAGAGGGGACCTAGATAAACTGGTCAGGTGGAGGAAGACTTACACCTATAGGCAAATCGCGTCGTTGAGCAACACGATCAGCTCTCGTAACCGAGGTATTTTACCCGAATACTAACTTTGGTTATTTTTCTGTTGATAGGTATATTTGCTAACCTGATGGGTAAACGCTCGGCTTTTGATGATTCAGACGAGGAACAGTATCCCGAGGAGAGGCTGCAAGAAACTCCCCAACCGGAAATGGGACAAGCGCCCTCCGGTCAGATGATGAGGGCGCATGCAGAGAGTTTGAGGAAGAGGAACCCCTCAGGCCTAGCCTCGGGCCATCAAAAAAGAAAGCGGGGGGATCCTAAAGTGGTGGAGGTCGACCCCTTGTCCTTCAGTCTGCCTGTAATTCACGAGCTGTTCTCCATCGACGAACTCCTGAAGGAGGGATACGAAGATCAAGGGCCAGGAGTGGGCCAGTTCGAGGGCGTTCCCGAGGGTCACGCTCTGCTCACGTTCGACCCTCCACGGGTCGAATGCGTGGACCTGCCCGCCACAGAGGTGCCGCGACTGGAGGACGGCATGAGACAGGTAAATCTTTCTTCCTTAGTGTTTATATTCCTCGTATTCAGAGGAAGACCCCCACTGATCAAGGATGTCCCCGTCGTGCAGGCAGTGCAAGCAGTGAACTCCTTCGTGACCGTGTGCACGGACTTGGAGAGGCAGCTGACCTCGGCCAGGAGGAAGGTTGCCAGCGAGGCCAGCAAAGCTGGGGAGGCTGAGGCGCGGCTCCAGGCCTTGGAAGAGAACCAGAGGCGACTGGAGGAAGACATCTCTAGAATGAGAGGGCAGCTCGAAGGCATGGAACTGACCCACAGTCTCCAAATCGAGAGCCTCCAGGCGACGAGCGTCCCCAAGTCCCGCCTGGATGCGTACATTCTCGCGGGAGTATAGAGGTACTTGGGGTCGTCCGAGTTCGCCCTCGGAATAAACGACGTCATGGACCCGGCCACAGAAAGACGGGCGAGGAAGGTCGTCATGGAGATAAGTACGCTGATAGGGAGATGAAGGGAAAGACGTCCGCGCTAAGGCTGCGGCACGGAAGCACTTTGGGGACATGAACTTCGCACTGCTTCCTATCATGCAGCAGATCGCTGAGACTTGCCCCTCCGTTTCTAGGCCCGAAGACATCCTGAATATCCCAGGCAGTCCTTCCTTCGTCTTTCAGATGCCGAGTGGAACTCAAACACCTCCGAGGACGCCGCCGGGGCCCGACGAGGAGCCGGATACAGTCGGACATGCACCCCCCCCCCAGGGCATAACTCCGGAAGCCGCGGAGGGGGCGGCACTTTGACCAACTCCAAAACCAACAGTGGAGACGAGGTGAATGATGCGTAGGGTTAGGACTTATCATAGCGATCACCTGTCTATTCCCCGTTGTAACATTTTTTACCCGAATATCAATGAATTTCAATTTTATTTACGATCGACTTTACTTGTTTGTTAATAATTTCATGTCTTTGTTGGTCGACTCAATTTTAATTTTACTTCTAAGGATTCTTCCTAGCTCGCGCTCCCTAACTTTCCCGTTAACACGCACTTCCTTTCAGGGGAAGGACGCGGCTTCAGACTTGCCCCATCAGCCCGAGGGAACCTCTCGAGGCACGCCTGCGACTCCGGGTCATTGGGAAACGTCCGGGATTCCCTGGATCGACCTACAGTTGCCCGACCCTCATTAGGATCCGACGACCTTTCCACTATATGCGGCTGTCAGAGGCGCTTTGGTAGATCCGGCCATCGACAGGAGCCGAGGACGACTGTCGGGTCTCGAGGGCCAGCTGGAAGAGGCTTTGGAAACTTACAGGGCATCGGAGTTGCACGAGGCATGCAGGGACGTCATAGAGGCGAAGCCAAAAAACAATCGATTGGATAAGTTATGGAGAGACACGGAGGCCTACTGGGAAGACCATCTGAAGAACTCTATACAGTTAGAGATATTGGCCAACAATCACCTCCAGACATTCGAAGCCAAAATCCGAAAGAAAAAGAAGGACGAAGGCTTGCCCGAACCGAACCCAGAGGATTTTATTCCCCGCAACTATTTCGAGAGCGTCTTCATATATCTCCGGAAGGCTTATGCCTTGGTCGCCGTCAGGTGGGATCGATCCTCCGACAAGATTGAGGCTCTTCAAGCGTATGCTGGTCAGCTTCGGGCGGCTTTGGAAAGCGCAATCTCCTTTATTGTAGAGACGGGAAAGGTGTACGATTTTGAGGCACTTTGGCCCGAGCCCTGCGCGGCCATGCGAGACGACCCCACTTCCCCAACTCGCGAATCCGAACGCCTGATATATGAGAACGACGCTCTATTTCACGAGTTAGGTCGAGGGTCTCACTAGGGACTTATGTAATTAGGATGTTAAGTAATTAGGTAGTTAAGTAATTTTTGGTGTGTTTTTGCCTGTATATATCCGAGGGCCATACCTTTGAAAATTCACGCATATATAACAGAATCTTTTTGAACATCGACTTTTTTGCTTTTCCTCATTTATTTGTTTTATTATTATTCAAGCTTTTACGGTTGTATATGTAAAATTCTGTGTATCGCCGACGCTCTTTGTTACGATCCGATGGTGGCAATAGGAGTATCTTCCCCCGGATTTTACATTTCAACTGTATTACTAATGTTGCAATAATGTAGTCGATGGTTGGTTGAAATCGTACCTTGTCAAGGGCCGCGGGAACTATAGGAATTCCGTGGGCCGCAGGATCTGCTAGGTGTCGTTGACCATTGAGGTCGAGACGGTTTTGTAAATTCCCCAAGGTCACAGAGACCGTAGGGGTTCCGTAGGCCGCGGAGGCCACATGGTACCGTCGGCCACTAGGGTCGAGACGGCTTTGTAAATGCCCCAAGGTCATGGAGACCGTAGGGGTTCCGTAGACCATGGAGGCCACACAGTAGCGTCGGCCATTAGGGTCGAGACGGCTTTGTAAATGCCCCAAGGTCACGAAGACCGTAGAGGTTCCGTAGGCCGCAGAGGCCACACGATACCGTCGGCCACTGAGGTCGAGACGGCTTTGTAAATGCCCCAAGGTCACGAAGACCGTAGGGGTTCCGTAGGCCGCGGAGGCCATACGGTACCGTCGGCCACTGGGGTGGAGACACGGAGAGAAGTATATTAACAACAAAAGTGCTGGAGTTCTCCTCTTTGGCTACGTCTATTACAAAAGTGGACAGAAGCCTTCAGACATTGAACTTCCTAAGGTTCTGGATCTTCCACCATCAGGGAATGTCGCGAGGCTCGTCGTCACATGTGCGCAGGCAATAACTCCCTGAGGGAGAAACTTCCACAACCTTGTACGGTCCTTCCCAGTTTGGAGCTAGTTTTCCGGTCGGTTCTGCATGGCTCGCCTCGTTTCATCGGAAGACCAGGTCCCCGACTTCAAAGTTCCGAGCCTGGACCTTGGCATTGTAGTACTTGGCCATGAGTTGCTTGTATTTAGCTTTGCGGGCTTTGGCCAGATCTCGTCTTTCATCCAGGAAATCAAGGCAAAGATGGATTTCATCTTCGTTCATTTCCTCCATGATGTTGACCACCCGGGGACTCGGTACCTCTATTTCAGCTGGGAGAACAGCTTCCATGCCATAGATGAGGCTAAAAGGGGTTGCCCCCATGGCCATTCTCATGGTAGTGCGAATGGCCTAGAGGACATGCGCCAACTCCTCAGGCCACAGCCCCTTGGCTCTCTTAAGCCGTGTCTTCATGCCCTGTAAGATGGTCTTATTTATATCTTCAGCCAACCCGTTGGCCTGAGGATGGGCCACGGATGAGAACCGCTGTTCGATCCCAAGCTGCTCACACCAAGATTTAAAAACTCCCGATTCAAACTGTGTTCCGTTGTCTGATATAAGGACCTTCGGAATCCCGAATCGGCAGACAATGTTCTTCCAGAAGAATTTGTTCACGTTTGCCCCTGTGGTGGAGAACAGAGGTTCCGCTTCGACCCATTTAGAGAAATAGTCAATTGCGACGATCACGAACTTGAGCTTACCCGGGGCCAATGTGAAAGGCCTTATTATGTCCGTTCCCCACTTGTAGAAAGGCCACGCCGCTGCCAATCGGGACCATCTCATGCTGGGAAAGTCGCGGAATATGGGCGTGCTTTTGGCATTGCGCGCACCGAAGGATAATGTTATAGCAATCCCGGGACAAAGTAGGCCAGTAATATCCGACGCGAATCAGCTCTTTGGCCAGGTTACGTGAACATAAATGAGCCCCACAAGCACCTTCGTGCATGCTTCTAATCAACGTCTCCGCTTCCCGCGGCCCGACACAACGCAGCAAGGGTGTTAGATACCCTCGCTTGTAGAGGATGCCATCCCTCATCAGGTATCTCGGCGCCTTGAGTCGGATCTTCCGGGCCTCCCTTGGGTCCGCGGGAACACCCCATTTTGGATGTACTGGACAAAGGGTGTCATCCAGGATGCCTCGTCCAACGTCACAGGCAGGACCTCTTCGTCCAGGATACTCGGATGCGTTCTGCCTTTCATGTGAATTTGTTGGGTAAGATGCACGGCACGGGAAGAAGCTAACTTGCTCAGGATATCGGCCCTCTTGTTCTGTGACCCCGGGATATACTGAATTTGGAAAACACGAAAGTCGCGTTCCAACACCCTAACCTTCCGAAGATACTTTTGGACAACCACCTCCCGAACCTCATACAGCTTAAGGACGTGGGTGACAACCACTAGAGAATCACTGCAAACTGAGATTTCCTGAACATCCAGCGCGCGGGCGATAGATAGCCCCGCGATCAGTGCTTCATATTCAGCCTCATTATTTGTGGTGGGAAAATCCAGCTGGATAGCATAAACAATCTCCGACCTGTGGGGGGTCGATCAAAACCACGCCTGCGGCCGAACCCTCTTTAGAGGAAGACCCGTCGACGAACAAAGCCCACGTTTGTGATCTGGTGGGGGGAGATCCCTCAGGGACTTGACAGCATTCATTAGCCTCGGCTTCCATCCTCCGAGGGACTTCGACAAGGAAATCGGCCAAGGCTTGACCCTTGATTGAGGTCCGGGTCGAAATTCTATGTCATGCTCCCCGAGTTCCACAGCCCACTTAGTTATCCTGCCTGACATGTCGGACCTTCGGAGGATCTGCTGCAGGGGCTGATCCGTGAGAACAAGGATTAGGTGCGCCTGGAAATATGGGCATAACTTCTGGGCCGCGGTCACGAGGCAAAAAATCAATTTCTCAGCAGGGGTATACCGAGACTCGGCGGGTAGGAGGACCTTACTGACATAATAAATAGGGCTTTTCTTTCCCTTATATTCTCGAACCAAGGCTGCACTTACCGTGGACTCCCCCACTGCTAAGTACAGAATCAGAGTTTCCCCTGGGTCCGGTGTGCTCAGGGTCGGGAGAGTCCTTAAGTGGTCTTTTAGCTCCATGAAAGCTTTCTGATAAGCCTCGGTCCAGCCGAAGGTATTGGACTTCTTGAGAACCTGAAAAAATGGCAAGCTTCGTTCGGCTGCCTTTGACAGAAAGCGCCCCAGGGCGGCAATACAGCTTGTAAGCCTTTGTACTTCTTTAATGGACCGCGGAGGTTGCATTTCTAGGATGGCTTGAACCTTTGAAGGATCCACATCGATCCTTCTCTAGGAAATCTGGTAACCCAAAAATTTCCCTGATCAGACGCAGAACATACATTTTTTCGGGTTCAATTTCATATTAGCAGCTCTGAGGGTCCAGAAGGTCTCCTGGAGGTCGTTGACTACAAGGTCAATCCGATGACTTTTCACCACCATGTCATCCACGTAGACCTCTATATTTCTTCCCAGCTGGGCCGCGAAGACACGATTGGCCACACGTTGGTAGGTGGCGCCCGCGTTCTTTAGACCAAAGGGCATTTTCACATAGTAGAACACACCCCTTTCCGTGACGAAGGCC